CTTCCCCCCCCCTCCATGGGTGGAGGGGGAAAACGTGGAGGGACAACCCCCCAGGAGATGTTGGAGAAGGTGGGGAACGAGGCGGAGGAGGCCACGGGGGGACGTGGGTGGTGGTGTCACCGTGGCCGTGTGTCCTCAACGTTCCATCTCCCCACGTCTCATCTCCCCATGTCCATCTCCAATGTCCATGTCCCCATGTCCCATGTCCCCATGTCCCATCTCTCCAGTGTCCCATGTCCCACCTCCCCACATCCCATCTCTCCAATGTCCATGTCCCCATGTTCTCATCTCCTCATGTCCCATCTCTCCAATGTCCCATGTCCCACGTCTCATCTCCCCACATCCCATCTCTCCAATATCCATGTCCCCATGTTCTTATCTCCTCATGTCCCATCTCTCCAATGTCCCATGTCCCACCTCCCCACATCTCATCTCCCCATGTCCCAGCTCCCCAATGTCCATGTCCCATGTCCCCATGTTCTCATCTCCTCATGTCCCATCTCTCCAATGTCCCATGTCCCACGTCTCATCTCCCCATGACCCATCTCTCCAATGTCCCATGTCCCCATGTTCTCATCTCCTCATGTCCCATCTCCTCATGTCCCATGTCCCCATGTCCCATGTCCCCATGTCCCACCTCTCCACGTCCCATCTCTCCAATGTCCATGTCCCCATGTTCTCATCTCCTCATGTCCCATCTCTCCAATGTCCCATGTCCCACGTCTCATCTCCCCACATCCCATCTCTCCAATATCCATGTCCCCATGTTCTTATCTCCTCATGTCCCATCTCTCCAATGTCCCATGTCCCACGTCTCATCTCCCCATGACCCATCTCTCCAATGTCCCATGTCCCCATGTTCTCATCTCCTCATGTCCCACGTCCCCAATGTCCCATCTCCCCACTTCCCACCTCCCCACATCTCATCTCCCCATGTCCCATGTCCCCATGTCCCACCTCTCCACGTCCCATCTCTCCAATGTCCATGTCCCCATGTTCTCATCTCCTCATGTCCCATCTCTCCAATGTCCCATGTCCCACGTCTCATCTCCCCACATCCCATCTCTCCGATGTCCATGTCCCCATATCCTTATCTCCCCATGTCCCATCTCTCCAATGTCCCACATCCCACCTCCCCACGTCCCATCTCTCCAATGTCCCATCACTCCATGACCCCGTGTCCGTCCCATCTCTCCAATGTCCCACATCCCACCCATGTTCTCATCTCCTCATGTCCCACATCCCTAATGTCCCATCTCCCCATGTCCCATCTCTCCAATGTCCCATCACTCCATGACCCCGTGTCCCATCTCCCCAGCTCCCCAATGTCCATGGCCCCATGTTCTCATCTCCTCATGTCCCACATCCCTAATGTCCCATCTCCCCATGTCCCATCTCTCCAATGTCCATGTCCCCATGTCCCCATGTTCTCATCTCCCCACGTCCCATCTCTCCGATGTCCATGTCCCCATGTCCCATCTCCCCATGTCCCATCTCCCCACATCTCATCTCCCCAATGCCCATGTCCCCATGTTCTCATCTCCTCGTGTCCCACGTCCCCAATGTCCCATTTCCCCACGTCTCATCTCCCCACATCCCATCTCTCCGATGTCCATGTCCCCATGTCCCCATGTTCTCATCTTCCCATGTCCCATCTCTCCAATGTCCATGTCCCCATGTCCCATGTCCCCATGTTCTCATCTCCTCGTGTCCCACGTCACCAGTGTCCCATCTCCCCAGCTCCCCAATGTCCATGTCCCCGTGTCCCATCTCCCCACATCCCATCTCTCCAATCCATCTCCCCATGTCCCATGTCCCCATGTTCTCACTCCTCATGTCCCTGTGTCCCATCTCCCCAATGTCCATGTCCCATCTCCCCATGTCCATGTCCCATCTCTCCAGCTCCCCAATATCCATGTCCCCATGTCCCATGTCCCCAATGTCCCATCTCCCCGTGTCCCATCTCCCCGTGTCCCTGTGTCCCATCTCCCCAACGTCCATGTCCCCATGTCCCATGTCCCCATGTTCTCATCTCCCCATGCCCCATCTTTCCAATGTCCCATCTCCCCACGTCCTCACATCTCCAATGTCCCATGTCCCATCTCCCCAATGTCCCATCTCCTCATGTCTCCAACGTCCCATGTCCCTGTGTCCCATGTCCCCAACATCCCATCTCCTCGTGTCCCATCTCTCCAATGTCCCATCTCCCCATGTCCCTGTGTCCCATCTCCTCAACGTCCATGTCCCCATGTTCTCATCTCCCCATGTCCCATCTCCTCATGTCTCCAACGTCCCATTTCCTTGTGTTCCATCCCATGTTCTCATCTCCTCGTGTCCCACGTCCCCAATGTCCCATTTCCCCACGTCTCATCTCCCCACATCCCATCTCTCCGATGTCCATGTCCCCATGTCCCCATGTTCTCATCTTCCCATGTCCCATCTCTCCAATGTCCATGTCCCCATGTCCCATGTCCCCATGTTCTCATCTCCTCGTGTCCCACGTCACCAGTGTCCCATCTCCCCAGCTCCCCAATGTCCATGTCCCCGTGTCCCATCTCCCCACATCCCATCTCTCCAATCCATCTCCCCATGTCCCATGTCCCCATGTTCTCACTCCTCATGTCCCTGTGTCCCATCTCCCCAATGTCCATGTCCCATCTCCCCATGTCCATGTCCCATCTCTCCAGCTCCCCAATATCCATGTCCCCATGTCCCATGTCCCCAATGTCCCATCTCCCCGTGTCCCATCTCCCCGTGTCCCTGTGTCCCATCTCCCCAACGTCCATGTCCCCATGTCCCATGTCCCCATGTTCTCATCTCCCCATGCCCCATCTTTCCAATGTCCCATCTCCCCACGTCCTCACATCTCCAATGTCCCATGTCCCATCTCCCCAATGTCCCATCTCCTCATGTCTCCAACGTCCCATGTCCCTGTGTCCCATGTCCCCAACATCCCATCTCCTCGTGTCCCATCTCTCCAATGTCCCATCTCCCCATGTCCCTGTGTCCCATCTCCTCAACGTCCATGTCCCCATGTTCTCATCTCCCCATGTCCCATCTCCTCATGTCTCCAACGTCCCATTTCCTTGTGTTCCATGTCCCCAATGTCCCATCTCCCCATGTCCCCGTGTCCCATCTCCCCAATGTCCATGTCCCCATGTCCCCATGTTCTTATCTCCCCACGTCCCATCTCTCCAATATCCCATTTCCCATCTCATGTCTCCAATGTCCCACGTTCCCAATGTCCCTTCTCCCCATGTCCCATCTCCTCATGTCCCTGTGTCTCTTCTCCCCAATGCCTGTCCCCATGTCCCATCTCCCCATGTCCATGTCCCATCTCTCCAACTCCCCAATATCCATGTCCCCATGTCCCATGTCCCCATGTTCTCATCTCCCCACGTCCCATCTTCCCAATGTCCCATCTCATGTCTCCAATGTCTCACGTCCCCAGTGTCCCATCTCCCCATATCCCTGTGTCCCATCTCCCCAACTCCCCAGTGTCCATGTCCCATGTCCCCATGTTCTCATCTCCCCATGCCCCATCTTTCCAATGTCCCATCTCCCCACGTCCTCACATCTCCAATGTCCCATGTCCCATCTCCCCAATGTCCCATCTCCTCATGTCTCCAATGTCCCATCTCCCCATGTCCCATCTCTCCAATGTCCCATCTCCCCAACATCCATGTCCCCATGTCCCATGTCCCCATGTTCTCATCTCCCCATGTCCCATCTCTCCAATGTCCCATCTCCCTGTGTCCCATGTCCCCAACATCCCATCTCCTCGTGTCCCATCTCTCCAATGTCCCATCTCCCCAACATCCATGTCCCCATGTCCCATGTCCCCATGTTCTCATCTCCCCACGTCCCATCTTCCCAATGTCCCATCTCCCCACGTCCTCTCATCTCCAATGTCACGTGTCTCATGTCCCCACGTCCTCCCCCACCAAGATGTGACCCCCATCCATGTCCCCACCCATGTCTCCATGTCCCCTACCGGCCTCCGGTGACCCACAGGTCGGTGGCCAGCCCCCAGAGCAGGTAGTCCTGGCCATTCTGGAGCCTGAGGGCGTCCCGGCACTGCTGGTGGCTCACGAAGGTCCGGTTGCTTCCTGCTGGGTCCTCGTCGGTGCCTGGGGACAGGTGACATCTGGTGACATCTCACCTCCACCCCAAGACAAAGGGACACCCACTCTGATGTGTCCCCCGATGGAGACTCTCAATCCCCAGGGACACCAACGTTGTCACCATCTCACTGGTGTCATCAGCCACGGGTGCCACCAGCCCTTGTGGGTGTCCCCACCACCCCTGGGTGACACCAACCCACCTGGTGGCCCCCCAAGCCACACCAGTGACCCCAACCCACCTGGCTGTCCCCACCCCTGGCTGTCCCCAGCCCCAGGTGACCCTCCCCGTGTCCCTCGGGGTGGCCTTGTCCCCCACCCCCGAGGTGCTCATACCCATCTTGATGACGGAGAGGATGTTCATGATGTAGTTGTCATGTGACCCCGAGTGCTCCACTGCCACCAGCTTCACCTTGTACACTGAGGAGAGGGGATGTCACCGTGTCACCCCCACCCAGGGTGGCCCCTGTCCCCACCTTTCCCTCCCCATGTCCCTCTACGTCCCCTTGTCCCTCCACGTCCCCCCCCCGTGTCCCTCATGACCTTCTTTGGTCCTTCATGTCCCCATCCACATCCTTCATGTCCCTTCCATGTGCCCCAGGTCCCCCCCATGACCCTATGTCCCCCGTTATCCTTCCGTGGCCTTGTGTCCCCCATGTCCCCATGTCCCCCGTCCCCCCTGTGTCCCACCGTAGTCGACTCCTGGCTCGCAGGCGCGCTCGATGCGTTGGTGGACGGTGATGGGGACGCTCTGCTTCTTCCAGGTGAAGCAGTTTTCTGCAGGGACGTGGGGACACGGCAATGACAAGGGCTATCGTGGCATCAACGTGTCCCATCACAGCCATGACATGTCATTTCATGGCCATGACATGTCCCATCACAACCATGACACGTCCCATCATGGCCATGACACGTCCCATCACAGAGGTGATGTCCCATCATGGCCATGACACGTCCCATCACAGCGGTGAAGTCCCATCATGGCCATGACATGTCCCATCACGGCGGTGATGTTCCATCATGGCCATCACACATCCCACCATGGCCATGACATGTCCCATCACAGTGGTGATGTCCCATCATGGCATGACATGTCCCATGTCCCATCACAACCATGACACGTCCCATCATGGCCATGACACGTCCCATCACAGAGGTGATGTCCCATCATGGCCATGACACGTCCCATCACAGCGGTGAAGTCCCATCATGGCCATGACATGTCCCATCACGGCCATGACATGTCCCATCACAGCGGTGATGTTCCATCATGGCCATCACACGTCCCACCATGGCCATGACATGTCCCATCACAGTGGTGATGTCCCATCATGGCATGACATGTCCCATCATGTCCATGACATGTCCCATCACAGCGGTGATGTCCCATCATGGCCATCACACGTCCCATGATGGCCATGACATGCACCATGATGGCCATGACATGTGCCATCACAACCATGACATGTCCCATCACAACCATGACATGTCCCACCATGGCCATGACACATCCCACCATGGCCAGGTTGTTGACCCCATCCATCCCCGTGTCACCTTCGGCGCAGCGACACACGTCCCCGGAGCAGATCTTGCTCAGTTGCCCCTTGTTCTTGTCCGGATGGTAGAACCGGGTGCAACGGTCATCTGCAGGGACAGGAGGGGACAGGAGATGGGGTGGGGGGACATGACACCAGGGGAAAGGACCCATGGGGACATGGGGGACACATCGGTGACACGTGAAGGGAGAGGGTCAACGGGGGACATGGGGGGACATGGTGACACAGACATGGGGAGAAGGTCAACAGGGATATGGTGGGACAAAGGGACAGGAGGGGGACACGGAGGGGACTTTGTGGGAGATGGGGGGCACAGAGGGGACCTTGAGGTGACAGGAGGGGACACGGGACGCACCGATCTTGTAGTAGCTGTAGACGGTGACGGCGGCGGGTTGGATGAGACCCACCTGGAAGCGCTGGTGGGCCTTGAAGGTGAAACACTCCTCCTCCTTGTGGGAGATCTGGGGACACGGGGACAGGGGGTGACACTCGGCCAGGTCCTGTCCCCAACCACCTCCCCGTGTTGTCCCTCTCCATGACCTGGCCTTGTCCCCACCCCTGAGACCTTCTTCCTGTCCCCAACCACCTCCCCGTGTTGACCCTCTCCATGACCTGGCCTTGTCCTCACCCCTGAGACCTTCTTCCTGTCCCCAACCACCTCCCTGTGTTGTCCCTCTCCATGACCTGGCCTTGTCCTCACCCCTGAGACCTTCTTCTTGTCTCCGTCCACGTCCACAACTTCATTCCCGTCTCCGTCCCCGGTCTGGGCTCTGTCCATGTCCCCAACCCCACCCGTGTCCCCAGTTCCTGTCCCCAACCTGTCCTTGTCCTCATCCGTGTCTCCAGCTTTATCCCTGTCCCCACCAGTGTCCCCAACTCCATCCTCTGCCCTTCTTTGTCCCTCTCCCCACTGTCCTCTTTCCTGACCCATCTTGTCCCCCATTCCCATCCCTGTCCCATCTTGTCCCCATCCCATCTTGTCCCCATCCTCGTCCCATCCTGTCCCCATCCCCGTCCCATCTTGTCCCCATCCCCGTCCCATCCTGTCCCCATCCCCGTCCCACCTTGTCCCTATCCCTGTCCCATCCTGTCCCCATCCCTGTCCCATCCTGTCCTCATCCCCGTCCCACCTTGTCCCTATCCCTGTCCCATCCTGTCCCCATCCCTGTCCCATCCTGTCCTCATCCCCGTCCCACCTTGTCGCTATCCCTTTCCCATCCTGTCTCCATCCCCGTCCCATCTTGTCCCCATCCCCGTGTCCCCATCCCCACGTCCCCACCTTGTCCAGGTAGATGACCAGGTTGCTGCGGTCCGACAGCGCTTGGTCCATCTCGAACTTGGAGATGTACCTGTCCACCCCCTCCGAGAGCTGGTGACAGGGACACGGTGACACCGAGCGGTGTGGGACACGCCGGGGGGGGGTGGTGGTGGTGGAACACGGCCACGTCAGAACACGGTGGGACATGGTGACACATGGGGACACGCGGGGATATGGGGACACCGGGGGACACCAAGGGGACAAGGGACACGGGGGGATGTGGGGATATAGTGACACCCGGGGGTTGTGGGGACACAGGGGGACAGTGGGGGACACCCAGGAGACATAGGGACACGGGGAAACACTGGGGACATGGAGATACAGGG